GTGACCCAAAAGTGGGTCGCGACCCCATGTCCAGTGGGTCGCCACATGCCTTCCACTTTTCTAGGTATCCTTGTCCTCCCCTTAGACAAGCAAAGTCAGTTCTCGCACCGAGCAGCCATTCAAAAATATGATGCCCGGTGTCGACTTGAGGTGGGGCTATGGCCGCGAGGGAGCTCCATCCACACGTGCATTGCTTACAGCTCATCACTTTCTGGCTCCTGGCACCGGGCACGCACGGGAGCTTTACAAGCAATAGACATATGGATGGAGCTCCATCACAGCTCAGCAGCCCACACTTCACCCCAGGCTGAGGATCCACTCCAATTTCCATAATGGCAACCCAAACGCACCTCCCACCCACAGTTCGATCGCCTGCACCGGAAAGCACAGTACTGCAACAGGGAACATTGCAGTGGAACTTGGGTGGTGACTTAATGACCGAGGACAAATGTGGGTCCCGAGGTTTAACAGGTTGAGAACCACTGCTCTACACTGATCACATAAGATTTTGCTCTAAGCAAGAAATAATGCGTTTCCACTAGAACCAGTTATATTTAAACATTTCTTCTTTTGTTAGTTACCACTTCCCGATTAGCTGCAGACAATCTATTCTGGGGGGCGGTTTCACTATGACCGGATGTAAGCCTACTGACTTGAATAATAATAGAATGTTATTTTGTGCATGTCTAGCTATGGGACAAACTTCTCAAAGAAACATTAGTACACTGCTGAGTACTAACATAATTTATTGCCATTACTCCAGATAGGCATTCCCGTAATGCTTTCAAAAAGTTTAGCCCTGGAATCATAGGGCGCAGCATTTAAATCACAAAAGGTCAACGAGCCGTGGATTAGTGGAAAGCAATATCACTACACAGAGCTAAGCGTTAATGCCTAAGGCTTTGCTATGCATCAGGCTGCAGGCCAAGGGTATTTAAACCCCTCCACTACAGGAGCTAAAAATATTTCGAAGAAACTATACATTTAAATGTGTCATTTCATTTGTACAAGCAAATGTAAAAGTGCCCATAAATCACTGCTTAAGCAAACTTAGGGCTTAGTTACAGACTAAGTAACAATTTATAAAACACATGGACAGCCAGGGGCTTAGGAAAGAAACCCAAGTATTAATCTGTGCATGAGACAGCTTTATAAAGAAGGATGTGCTTAGGTAACACAGACTGTAATAGACAAATATCCATATAATGTTAACAAAACTAAGAGAGGCCATACATGGAGCAAACTTAACAAGGGATGCTTTCTGCGATCAGGGGCCACTTAAAGAAGAACTCCGGGCAAATCTTTGATTAACCATTGCAGAGGGGCCACCCCCACAAGGGTTAACTGCTCATTTTTGTCTAGGGAGGAAAATAAATAAAAAAAAGTTATACATACCCGATACTCGGGTATGTATAGAGCCGGTTTTTTCATAGACCGGTCCTTCCAGCCTCTCTCCTCCTCCGCTGCAGCAGTCTAAGGATCCTCGAGTCATCACGTTCTATACACTGTGTATAGACGTGAGGACGCCGAGGAGCAAGCCAGTGCTGCAGCGTAGGAGAAGACAGGTTTCAGAGACCAAAGAAACAGAGAGCTGGCTCAGCTGTTTGAGTTAGTATAACTTATTTATTTTCTTAGCACCTAGGCAAAATCATGCGACTAAAAAGTAAAAGGCCTACAGATGCCTCAATGCAGAGCTAAAAGAGCTTCGTGCTGTGAATTCAGTGCCTAGAAAAGAGGAAACTGCTTTTCTCCAAATAATGAGCAACTTTATATTAGACATGCACAAATGGGAAGTTGCCCCACAGAAGAGTTCCAGTTCATTTTACGGACATTAAACAACCCACAAGACAGCCGCCAAAGAACATAGTTTTCACTATTATGTCATACATTTCTCCATTTTCATTTCCTCTTACATAATGTTATGGATATAGCACCCCCTCTAGTGGCCATGCACTGATTAACACAAGCAGGACGTTCTACTGTGTTTTCCCGAAAGTAAGACCTAGAACTATCTTTAGAGATTCCTGTAATATAAGACCTACCCCGAAAAGAAGACCTAGTTTGGTGATAGGGGGCTCACATGTATTGCTGCATCCAAGCAGCCAGCCAGGGGTCCGAGAGTAACGTTCAATTATATGAGCAGCTGGTCTCTTGAAGTCTGCATGTATAAAACATGTCAAGGACCGCAAAACATTTAATCTATACACAGCAGGGACTGACCCTCGCGCCTCGGCTCCCGTCCGCCCGCACACCTGTCTGCCTCGGCTTTTGCTTAGAGCGCAGAGAGAGCTGCCGCCGGGCAGAAAACTACATTTCCCAGCAGGCAGCGGAACAGAGCGGCATGGCCAGTGGGGCCGGAGTGAGGTCAGGTGAGGTGAGGGAACTTCTGACTGGAGGTCCGTGCGACGAGGTGGCTCACTGGACGGCATCAGAGAGGAGAGCTCCAGGACAGCTGCAGCCTGCAGGCATGCGACACTGTGTGTGACAGTATTTTTTCATTTTGTTGCACAAAAAATAAGACATCTCCCGAAAATAAGACCTAGTGTTTTTTTTGGGGGGGGAGAAAAAATATAAGACAGTGTCTTATTTTCAGGGAAACAAGGTAAACCCTCGACAGTCAAAGCATGCTAACATTTTGTGCAGCAAGCCCCTGCTTTATTTATAAAAATATATATACCGTATATACTCGAGTATAAGCCGAGATTTTCAGCCCATTTTTTTGGCTGAAAAGAAAATTCACAAGGCTTAAAGAACTCCAGGAGTTGTAAAAATGAACCCTTGCAGTGGGGCTACCCCTGCACTGCAAGGATTAACTGCTCGTTTTGGTCTAGGGGCTAAAATAAAGAAGAGATACTTACCTGATCCTGGTTTCCATCTGGCTTCTAGACTGGTACCTGCAGTCTCTTCTCGCCCAAGTGGGGCGCTCTAAGCAGGGCTGCAACTAGTGATTATTTTCATAATCGATTAGTTGGTCAATTATTTTTTCGATTAATCGGATAAAAAAATTACATAAACACCATCCTTAATTTAAACTAAATACACAAATGCAGCGTTACAAACAAAGTTTACTGCAGAATAAAACTGCATGCACAATTTTTTGTAATCGCACTGCACTGAAACACACGGCATTGCGGTACTGTGCGTTCCAGTGCGGGTGATCACACTGTGGGTGGGAAGTGCGTTTGGGGTGTTATTGAAATGAATGGCACTGCAAAGCACCTCCTACAGCAGAATTTGTCAGGCCGAAACTGAAAATTACTTATTTCCCACCTTTTTGCTTTTTTTTATTATTTGTATTGTAAGCACATGGCACTTAAATAGCTTCAGCCAGGGAGTGACAGCTGCCAGTGGCAAGATTCCACAGACGGCAGCTAAATTTAAATGCAGCAGGTAGTGGGCTTGTGCAATAGCCTGCCTGCTATTGGCCATTTCAAATTGCAATAGCAGGCTGGCTATTGCACCCGCCCACTGCTTGCTGTGCCCTCCTCCCAGCGTGGAGGAGAGCGCCAGGGGATCCAACCAACTAATCAATTATGAGAATAGTTGACAACTATTCTCATTATCGATTAGTTGGTTGCAGCCCTAGGTCCAAGGACCTATGATGTCATACAAGTGCATTAGACATGAGGACGCTGAGGGACATACCACCTCCGGAGCAGGGAGGTGGAGAGGTCTCTTGCTGACAGCAGCAGAACCAAGGATCAGGTGAGTAATATTATCTTAATTCTGGCTTCGAGAAAAATGAGCAGTTAACGCTTGCAGTACAAGGATAGCCCCACTGCAAGGGTTCATTTTTACAATTCCTTAAGTTCCTCTTTAACATACAGGTCATTGCTCCTAAACATGCCACTACTGATGTTAACATGGAGTTTCTATACATTGTCTAATGAGAATATAATAGGAGGCATTTCTCATGGATATATTATAACTCCTGATAAAAAGGCACCCTATCTAGCCCCCTATCTAGCCCTAAGAAAAAGCCCCCTATCTAGCCCTGAGTCAGAGCTTACACAAGTCTAAGGACTCCTTCCCCCACACATACACCTCCCACACGACAATGCTTAGGCATTGATCACTGTGCTCAGTCCTGGAGTATACCGCTCTGACCTCCCATTACACCCCGCACTTAGCCACCATGGTGCAAAGCCACAATCCACCTTCCAAGGATTTACATCAGTTTGCAGCAGGATGGCAGCAAACAAAGAATCTCCTCCAAATGTATCTTTATTTCATACTGTAAAGTCCATAAAAGCAACATCTACTCTGTTTCAGCCCTACTGGGCCTTTGTGAAAGCACGACCTGATCAGTGAACTGTGGTAGAAAAAGGAAAGGATCTCGTGCTACCCCACATCTGGTAGTACAGTACAAGGAAGGAGGAGGTGGCCATCTTGAGTGAGTAAAATACAGGTTGACATTTAATGCATTGAAAACACAGAGGGGAATTTATCAAAACTGAAGCAGAAAAAAATCAGGAGCAGTTGCCCATAGTAACCAATCAGCTTCTCTCTTCAGTTTTAGTTAAGATTCGAAAATGAAACACACTGATTGGTTGCCATGGATAACTGCTCCAGATTCTGATAAATTCCCCCCCGCAGAGATATGTATGTGTGTAAACATCAGCACCAGCATTTAAAAATGTGGGAACTTACGCCCATGCATGTATAAATGCTACACACATTTACACACATATACCAGTATACAGCCTTTACTGTCCATACGTTGCTATGGACAGAAAAAGACAGCAGTTGGGACTCCCGGGCACCGCAAACACATGAGTATTTTACACTGTATGCCAAAATGCCTCTATTTGCTCCCTGTGTGCATGAGCCCTAAGAGATGCTCAGAAATGTTCACCACCCTTCATCAACATTCACACACTAAAATTTTGTTTAATCTAGAAAAAAAAAAAATCTGCCTGAATGCACTCAGTTTAAAGTTTTTTTTAGTAGTGTAATACTACATCTGCACATACTTTATAGCAGGATAGTGTCAGAATTACCTGGCTTTCCAAGGTCTCCAGCTTTCTCTTTCGACTATGAAGAGCCTTACTGGGAAAAGCCCAAAAGTAATTTGAGGTCCCAATGCGCTCGGAATCCACCATAGCATCGTCCACCAGGCTTTGCAGGACGTCCTTCACCGACATGGATGCTGAAAAAAGTTAAAAAAAAAAAGAATTATCCTTATTAATTGTGGAAATGTAATAGATTTACATAATGCAACTACTTAATCCACCATTGCTCTCATCGGTCAAGAAGGTGCACATCAATAGGACTATGACAGTAATATGACTCCGTGCAGAATGCAATGCCACTCAAAAACATTCATGGCAAGTTAAAGTTCATCTTTCCAATATAAAAAAAAAAAAAAAAACACAAAAAAACGAGAACATGGATTGCTAAAGTGTTCCACACTTCATACAGTAATTTATGGGGAATTTTAACTACTGGTACGTGGTTTCCAAACACTGCAAAAATGTCTAACCAAGACAATTAACAATATATATGTTAAAACTATAACGAGTTATAAAATGAACAACAGTGTTTGTTAGGCTACATTCGCACTCCAGCGTTTAGGTTATTTAAAGACGGGAGAAATTATACAAGAAGTATAACCAAACTTTATGGTTCCCAGATCACTTCCTTCTTCATTTAGAGCAGTGGTTCTCCACCTGTGTAACCTCAGGACCCACATTTGTCTTGGTTATTAAGTCGCGACCCAAGTTGCACTGCAATGGAACGCATGGCTTTGCGGTACCACACGTTCTGATGTAGGCAATAGAACTGTGGGTGGGAGATTGGCTTGAATGGCAATGCACCTCTCACACCAGAACGTGTGGTAGGTGCGATTGCCCGGTACAGTGCAATAGTTACACGGGACTGTGCGATTAATGCACTGTACTAGTGTGAATGGGCCCTCAAAAACACTGACAGACACAACCAGAGACAATCTCACACAAGCACTCCAAAAAAAATAATAAAAAATATATATATTTTTTGTAAATCCAACCAGTCTCCCTACCGTACGAGTACTGCAGTGGATCCTCAGCCTGGGGTTCAGTGTTGGCTGCTGTGCTGTGACAGAGCTCCATCTATATGTACATTGTTTGTACAGCTCTCTTACGCACCCTGTAGAGGTGCTAGGAGCCAGAATGTGACATCACTCCGGTCCAGGAACCTCTACAGGACACTCAAGGGAGCTGTAAGCAATGCACTTATGGATGGAGCTCCTTTGCAGCCATAGCCCTAGCCCACCCCACCTCAAGCTGACACTTGGTATCAAGCAGCATATTTTGAATAGTTGCTTTGCACAAGAACTGCCAGTGCTGCACTAGGGGGAGGCTGAGGAGTCTCTCACCTAGAAAAGTGGAAGACACAGGGGGACCCACTGAACACAGGGTCACGACCCAACAGTTGAGAACCAAGGATTTAGATGTACCTGCCTTTCTGGGGGTTTAGCCATGTTTACATGCGGGGAGATATTCCTTTTTTTGTTAGGATTCCATTTTATTAAGGATAAAGGATCCAAATAAAGATACAATGGTAAAGCCACCGTACCGTAGTGTAAATTTGCAACCAAATACAACGACCCTAGTATACAAAATCATAGACCCTAAAGGTTTATATTGTTTTATTAAAGATTCTAAATAAACAAAAGATAGGCAGTAAGCGACCATACCCCTCACCTCATGGGACCACAACTTAAGAGGTTAATTGCGGCAACTACTGATTAAAAGTCCAACACAAACCCTTATATCATAAGTCAGTACAAAAGTGAAAGTGAGGAAGAGCCTAAAAGAGAATGGTCATGTGGAATAGACCAAAGAAACAAAATCAAAAACAAGCAAAATGAAGAACAAGAGAAAGGAATATAATAGTGAAGGACAAAGAAAGAAGAGAGAAAGGAAAAGAAAAAGAATAAATAAGTCATGGAAGGAGAGAAGAGGAGTTAGGAGAAAGGAATAAGGGGAAGAGTGAGTTCCTCCCCCAATGGCAGGAACCCCAAGGAATGGGACACACCAGCACACCCTCCATGTTTTAAAGGTCATCTGATGGGGCAGATGTGAGCTAAGTAGCAAACTGCAGGGAGGAAACAAACTCTATCCAATAAAACCAAGTCTTATGAATTGTATCCATTGTCCCTTTTTTAGACGCAATCAGATCCTCCATGTGCCAAAGCTCATTAACCTTGTTAAGCCACATGGCAATGGAAGGAGGGTGGGATTTCCTCCATAAAGTCGGTATGCAGCTTCTCACAGCATTTATCATGTGTGGAAGAACAGATTTCAAATACGTCGTTTTAGGGATTTCATTATAATGTAAGAGGATGGCATAAGGCGATTGAAGTACTGCTGGAGTCCTATACCAGTGGGTAAGAATCTTGTAGCCTAATTCCTGATATTTAGTACAAATGCATGTTTTATGGATGTAGATAGGAAGCTTATCCTTCTGATCAGATATGAATTGGATCCCCAGTACTTGCTCCCATCTACCAACAAAGGAGGGAGCAAAATCCTTGGCAGGAGAGTTCCACATGGTATACAAAAAGGGACACTGTGTGTCTAAGTGGCAAGTCACACTCTCTCTCAAATGCAGTTAGAGGGCAGTTATAGTCCTTTGTGGGGGGACTGAGCGAAGGAAATGTGATAACTCTCCCTTACTCCAGAACCTCAGATGGGACCACTGTTGATCTATCAATAGCACCGCTAACGTAATCCAGTTGTCATTTTTAATAAAATGCTGTACCCTAATCAGATTTATCTTGAACCATGGAACAGAAACTAGAACACTATCTCAGGACTGACTCAGTTGAGATCCCAGTGCTCTCGCTAGAGATCTACTGCATTTGTTACCAAATTTGTAATAAATACGTTTACATCTAGTCAGTAGACCCCTTGCTTTGGTAAGACATCACGACTTGAGTTGTCAATTCAACAAGAACCGATTGTGCCAAGGAATGTTTATGAAGAGACTCCCAACGGTGTATATCAGTCAACAAACGCTCAACCTGTGCTTTCTTCAGTTTGGAGCCCATTTAAACAAATGTACCTCGAACGTACGCCGTATGTGCCTCCCATACAGTAATAGGGTCACTGTCCGTGGTGTCGTTACAGTCAAAAAAAGTAGACAGATCCGATTTAATCTCCAGATTGATCGAAATAGAAGTGGGATTACCTAGCAGTCTGTTAAAGATTGCCACCACTGTATCATGGACATTCTCCGGTCCTGTAGCCTCTGGAATACCCCCAAGCCACTTGTCATCCAAGCCTTCCATATGTAACTGCAAATATTAGAACCAACGTACTTGAGTGTCCCGGAAGGCCTCCAAAGATGGGAGTCTCGCCTCTACTGCCGCAGAGCATGCATCTTCCTTGTTCTCTCTTGTAGTCAGTTGATGAACCTCCTGTCGCAGTTCCTGGATTTCCCGGCTGTGAGTCTCCTCTATTTTTGCCACCAAAGCTTCAATGCCCGCCTTAGTGGGTAAGGAGCGGGGCAAGGCCCCAATGTCCAGAATTTCCATATCCCGGGACACATGCGACTCACCGCCGTCAGGACTCGCCGTGGCTTGGGAGGTCAGGGCCACAGCCCTGCTGTCCACACTCCACTTTGAGAGCGATGATTGAAGCGTGGACAAGCGTGGCTCAGAAGGAGCAGGGATCTCCTGAGATGGCAGCTTCAAGTATTCAATATACTCAGAAGTGTGTGTTGGATGTTGGGCCTTCTTCAGCCATCATAGCTCCGCGACAGGATTAAATTTAGTGGCACAGGCAGTAGCATAGGTATTATATCTCTTCTTTTACTTGTTTTGGTTATTTTGGGCTATAACAGAGCTGCTTTAAGAAGAACACTGTTTGCATAGAAGGAATTTGGAGGGCTTCTGCTTATGGACTACAATCTCACGTTTAGTTTACTTATTTCTATTGAGATTGTAGTCCATCACAGGAGTGAGCTTGGAGCGGTAGCTACTTTCCAAAACACACACACAGGGGACATGGAGAACAAAAGTAGCCACCCTCCAGAAGGAAGGAGAGTGTCAGCACCAATTCAGAGATGATTTGAGGATCTACAGCCGAGTGATACACAAATAAGGACCAGTATTGTTACAAGTAAAAGGTACTTGAATGTATTTTTAATATTTAACTCCCGAGTTTAGTGTCTCTGTAATTCTTCCCATTGCATTACTGAAGAAACACTTACTAATCCCTTTCTCTTTTGGGGCGATTTTCTCCAGGTCCTTCAGTTGGAATACATCTTTCTGTTTGCATAAAAAAGGACAATGTTTTTGTCAGTGATTAGACAGCAGCCTCCCCCATTCAGATTACAAATAGACATAACAAACAGAGAGACATTTAAAAAAACCAACAACTATAATGTTAAAGGAAGTCTTTTTAATTGTGAATTGTCATGAGTTTTTAAACACATATTTAAAAAGCAAGGAAAATGCATGATCAATTCAAGTATGCAAAAAGTTAACCCTTGCAGTGGGGCTACCCCTGCACTGCAAGAGTTAACTGCTCGTTTTTCTCTAGGGGCCAGAATAAAGAGGATATACTCACCTGATCCTTGATCCTGATGCTGTCAGCAACAGACCTCCCTCCACCGCCCTGCTCCGGAGGTGGCATGTCCCTCAGCATCCTCATGTCTAATGCACTTGTATGACATCATAGGGCCTTAGGCTGCCTGACTTGGGGGAGAAGAGGCTGCAGGTACCAGTCTAGAAGCCAGATGGAAACCAGGATCAGGTAAGTATCTCTTCTTTAGTTTAGCTCCTAGACCAAACTAGCAGTTAATCCTTGCAGTGCAGGGGTAGCCCCACTGCAAGGGTTAAGTTTTACAACTCCTGGAGTTCTTTAAGCCTTATGAATTTTGTTACATAAATAGCGAATATAAAGTGTGTACAGTAGAATCAGCAGGTCCTCTGTAAGGTAGAACATTTAATAAACAGTAATACAAATACCATATGCATTATGCTTTTGCAAAATCACATTAAAAAAGCAAGGAAAACACATGATGAAGAAGAACTTCAGGTATGCAAAAAGTTAACCCTTGCAGTGGGGCTATGCCTGCACTGCAAGAGTTAACTGCTCGTTTTTCTCTAGGGGCCCTAAACAAAATTATATACTCACCTGATCCTCTGTCCTGTGGCGGCGAGTGCTCACCTCTCTCCCTCTGCGCTCCGGCTGTGGTATTTTCCTTGCCGTCCTCACGTATAAAACAGGTGAATGGATTGCATTAGATGTGATGACATCAGCGGAGCTTAGACTACCGGAGCCCGGGGGAAGAAGAGGCTGCTGTGACCGCTGTAGCAGCAAGGTTGAACCGAGGTGAATCAGGTGAATATTTTTGTTTTATTCAAGCCCATAGAGATAAACAAGCACTTAACCCTTGCAGTGCAGGGGGTAGCCCCACTGCAAGGGTAAACATGTTACATACTGGAGTTCCTCTTTATGTACATCTTCATGTTTTTGTGCGGTGCAGTTTGGAGAAATGTTTACAGCGTTGTAATGTGAGTTTTGTTGGAAATGCGCACGTCCATTAAATCATAGAACAAGCGCAAGATGTGTTCTTTGCATGTGTTTTACACTTATGAATACACATAGGGGAATACTCATTACGAGGGATGCCCGATAACGATACTAGTATCTGTACCGCTACGGAGTATTTGACCAAGTACTAGTACTCGCCCAAATGCTCCGATACCTTCCCTGATACTGGAAACTCTTGGAAAGAGGAAGATTTTCTCTGACTGGCAGTGCCAAAGGGAAACATGGAGCCGGCTTCCCGGGCAATCAGGAAGCCGGGTGGCAAGTAATGACCTGCCTCCCGGCTTCTTGATTGGCTGGGAAGTCGGTTTCAAAATCGAGCCGGCCAAACAACATGGATCCGGCTTCCTGATTGCCCGGGACGCCGGCTCCATGACAGCGGAAGCACCGATATCGGTACTCTGTTTCGGCAAGTACTGAAAGCAAAATATCGGTACTCTACACCGAAAAACTGGTATCAGTGCATCCCTACTCATTACATACGCAAAAGCTGGCCATACACCCACAGGGCTATTCACAAAAGGGTGAAGAGTTTGGAGAAAACAGGAGAAGTGACCAATCTAGGACAACATGGCTGAACTGGAAAGTGAGAGGAATTGGAGAATGTTTCCAAATCAGCTATGTTGTCCTAGATTGTTCACTTCTCCTGTCTTCTCCAAACTCTTCACCATTTTGTGAATAATCCTGTAATTGCTTTTTCCTCATTCAGCCCTAGATTCCCCCATCCATGGCATTCCCTGCTGGCTACTATATTCTAACAGTTGTAACCGCTGCTGTCAGAATACCCAAACAGTGATTGCAATTGATTGGCTTGTCGGCCTGTTTGACTAAAACAAACTCTGTTATCTGTGATGACCTAAAAACACTACTGGTAGCCATTGACCATATGCCCTTATGGTCTGATAATGATGTAGCTAAAAATGTACTACATCACACATGGTCCATTAGTACATTTCCACCAGTAACGCACCTAAAAGGTCTGTGTCACATGGCACAATAGAAATGGATACAAATAATTTAGGTGGTATTTTTAGTGATTGGTTGGTATACTAAATATATATGACTCATTGCAGTGTCATCTTCCCAGTCACAACTAGAAGTACTTGTATGAGACTGGCAAGTGTTTGCAGTCTGTAAAGCAACACAAGCGAGTTCAGATGATCACTGAGTTGCCATACCACCGTATTCAACAAGGGAATCCGTGTTTATATAAAAATCAATAATCTAATATTAAAGTGACACTAAACTCAGGAGCTAAATGTTAAAAATACATTCAAGTACCTTAACTGCTGTAGATCCTCAAATTATCTCTCATGCGGACATTGCCCTTCCTTCTGGAGGGTGGCTACTCTTGTTCCCCATGGTCAATGTGTTGTAAAGTAGCCACCGCTCCAAGCTCACTCCCGTGATGGACTACAATCTCATGTTTATTTCAATCATTTGTATTGAGATTGTAGTCCATCACAGGAGTGAGCTTGGAGCGGTGGGGAACAAAGTACAAACTGCTGGGGAACAAAGTAGCCACCCTCCAGCAGGAAGGACAGTGTCAGCACTAACTTGGAGATGATTTGGCTATATACAGATACACAAATAAGATACATTTTTATTAATAGTTAAGGTACTTGAATGCATTTTTAAGATTTAATTCTTGAGTTTAGTGTCATTAACTCTTTCACCTGTAGCATCATGAGTGAAATGAAAATGCTGTATGAAAATATCCTATAAGGGCCGATTCACACTAGAGGGTTTGCAGCTGTGATGGCCGCCCTTTCCAGTGCAGCCTCAACGCACTGACAAGGTAATAGCCTTGTGTTCAAATGTCTCAGTTCACACCACCAGTACTGTATGCCGTACTCAAATGTCTCAGTACTGTATGCCGTGCTCAAATGTCTCAGTTCACACCACCAGTACTGTATGCCGTACTCAAATGTCTCAGTACTGTATGCCGTGCTCAAATGTCTCAGTACTGTATGCCGTGCTCAAATGTCTCAGTTCACACCACCAGTACTGTATGCCGTACTCA